CGTGTTCAATAACTTCCCGCCGTACAAGTTATCAGTGAAATCAAAACAGAGACACCCCAATAACGCGAAGTCGACACCGCAACAGGCGAAACTTAGTTTTCCGTTTGGTTTTATAACATGAACGATAGACAGGCAATAAATGAGCTCCAGCAACTTATAATTGCTTCATTTCGTTGTCGACTCCACGAGAACTATGCCGTTTGCATTCGGCTTGTCCGTGTCGTGTTTCAAAACGATAATTGTCTATGAAAAATAGGTATGCCCGAAATCAAGCCAATTGACACTAAAATAAGATTCCGAAAATCTAGAAACGCCTCAACTTAAAGTAATAGCAAACACACTTTAAAAAACTCTCAATAAATAACAGAAATTTAAACAATTTGCATATCGTTCGTTATGAATATCCTTCGTTCAATGCTAATGCCGTTACACACTTCATTAAAAACTATCCTCTATTTAATACTGACAGAATCGCCGCGCGGAAACTTCCCAAACGTGAACTGACAGCATCAAAAAGTAATAATCGAAATAATCACGATTCATCGCAGTGTTTATCCGTACGCCACTAACGTATCATGTCAAAAGTGCATAGACAACTTCCACGCCACTATTTACTGTTGAAATATACTCTTAAAACAAACGATCACGCCAATCTGGACTCTATACCAATACAATTAATACAACTTACTATTTCCACCTGCGTGCCCTTGCCTGTCTTTATTCATTTTTACCATTTTCACGCTGCACGTTCGATGTGACACGTGATTGATGATCGCGACGTTCATTGTCAATCATACTGTTACTATAAAAGCATTTGGCCAAATGTGAATATTTATGAATCATAAACATTTGTCCCCGCAATATGTTAAAATAATAATTTTCATTCGGCCATTTTAATTTCAATAGATGCTGTGACAGTTGAAGAGTAAGTTATTAACGGAAAGTGGGAATCTTTTTGGTTCTGACATCCAACTGTTCAATCATTCGCGTCGTTTATCATTTTTTTCAGAATGAAACGAAACTCATCGCATCAAACTAGACAGACTATAGATGACGTAAAAAGAAAAACTTCCGTCCCGCCATAGAAGCTTTCCAACGTCTTTTTGTTCGTAAATTGGTATTGCCCGCGCATTCGAATTCGAAATTTGAATTTTCCCGCCTAAATGTCAGCCTAATAAATGTTTTCTGGCAACACTCAATTTTTTGTAGGGCAACCATCAGGATAAACAAAAATAGGACACTGCTTGGAATACACAAAACTAATAGTAATTGCTATAATGAGAATCACTGTAACCTCCAAATTGTAGCGCTCTATTGCGGGTATTCAGTGTGGTTTATTATAAAGTGACTGACATTGAGGGGCACTGCAGGTAAATATTAAAGAAAAACTGATGTTTCATGCGGCCCAATTAGCGAGAACTTGTTAAGTAGAGTTTTAATATTTATCAGCTCTTTTTAATATCCAATATGATTCACTTATTTAAATAATAAAAAAGATGGTTTTTATTTAAAGTGAATCATTTAAAACATAACCCATAAAGTTTCATGAAGCTTTAATTTTTTTCTCTTAGCATCCTGTTTAACGAAAATAGGAATTTCCCGGCAAATCAGACAGCGTTGTCCCTCCTAAACTGTTTGACCACTTTGACAGATCGCTAACATGAACTCTTTCTGATGTCAAACTGGCGTATTAGGTTTTTTATCCAGTTGTCTCTCATCACTTCCTTTGTGATTGAGTACTGCATTGACTCACTGTGTTCGCTATTGTTTCCGTTTTGTTACTTTATTCGAATTTTAGACAATCGACGTGGCCATCTTTGTTCCTTTTGGATCAATCTTGGTCGTGGTTGGTTAAAAATCAAAATATCAGAAATAGCCAGTTTGTAGTGAACTATTTGGGCCATACTTTTTTTCATCTATTGTGACTCGGTTTCTGTATGTAAATTTGTCACAAATAAACTTTAAATTAAAACACATGTTGAAAATATATATTATGTTTCGCTAACACCCGCCACACTTATTTTAATACAGAAGTACAATCAGCGACAAAAATACGTATGGCATAGAATCGAGCATGTCTGATAAGACGGCGCGAGTGAATTTATAGCCAACGACGCGTCATTTGCATCGGAAGGAACAAGGCTAAGAATGTGATGCCTGCAGCCTACACAAGTTACCTACTGTTCATACGTAACCAGACTAGAAGATAGCATAGTCCTTGACTGGCTAGTAATAAATAACTTTACCATTTATGGGGTTTTCTTTCTGCCTCTAAAAGCTAAAGTAACAATATTAGTAGAACTAGTAAGATTACAATGGCAAAAATCCAAATTAAACCAGACCTTACTACTGTCTGTCATTAAAGTACAGTCAACCACTATAAAGTTTAACGCCACCGAATAAACATCCAGCTAATGCTGAACACCGAAAAAAAAAACAAGTTCCAAAAAGTTGCTAACACATGTAAATCTCATCAAATAGTCCGGTCTTTTTTAAACGATCCACATAAGAGAGAGGTATCCAAGTTAATCGACGTCACAGTAGGGTGATCACAGACCCTGGTGGCTACGCTGTAATTATACTAAAAATGTGGTAGACTTCAATAAAAAGCTGAAACTGTGACGGGCGGCGGTCGAAAACATAATTGTCCATAGTAATGATTGTAGGTAATTTTGCGAGGGTTGCCCTTAACCCTACACTGAAGGAACAGCCCTTGGAAGCTGTGTAAAGTGAAGGCGTGAGCGGAAAATAAATATATGAGAAACTAATTGTTTAGAGCCTAGAAATCTACGCAGTCATTGTCATATAAAAATGATGTGTCTTTAAAATTGTAATAAAACAAGATTTTAAGCAGTACTTAGTGCTTAGTAGTAAACGTTTTTAAAATCTTAAATAGCATATTACGACAACAAAAAAGGTTATACTTTATTGCTATATTGTAATTTTAATGCTATGAACTCTCAATCGTTTTTGTCAAATTAATTTTTTAGAGGTTTTTTTAACTACGTCATCACTACACTTAATCCGCTACAGCTTACAAGTTTCAACTAAGTTAATAGCGGTCAGCGAGGTCCGAATTAAGACAATAATTACTCGCGGTCCTGTCCGGACGAATTTTCGTTTTGGCTAATACTTTTTATGGCCAACTGTACTATTCTGAATGGCGGGACCTATGTTTACATGTATTTTATGGCCACGTGAAGGATCGCTGTTAACTGCTGACAATTTTGTCCCCTCTAACATAGCCAAAATTGACATTTAAAAGATTAGTGAAACTTTTTTTTATTATTCTGAACTTGATACACAACCTCATTATTATTTAACTCATTTTAAATTGAAAATTCAAAGACAATATATTATAGAAAACCTAAAGACATTTGACGTGCGCTGTCATCCATATTGTAAGAATATTTGTCGCTGTCACAATATATCTTTTTGTGTCTGTATAATTATATTACAATACCTAATGACGTCTTTTATATTTTTTATAACAATCCATAAAAGACTATTTAAGAAGATAATGAAAGGTTATGTACGACAGCTTCAAGGCTTCATCAAAAATGACAATATTTGTTGTAGTATTACCGTACTGATATTTATCGATGTCAAGGTATTAAACCAGCAAACGATATTGAACCTTATTCTGAAATGTTAACAAATAATTTGGAACAGCAATTTGATGCTGTAAATGTGACTTTTTCCGACTTAGTAAATCACATTATAGCAAACAATTACTTATGAAGTTTAGAAAAATACGTTTTCTAAAGATCTGTACGTATTATTAAAAAAATATGGTGTTATTAAATACATACGTAATAAGGTACATTAATTTGTACACTAAATGTGTATGAATACTGTTTTAGGCGATTAGGTTTATGGACTATATTTTTACTTTTTTATTATTCGAAATGGCCTTGTTAACTTGGACTGACGTTACATAGGTTTTGGATTTTTCTAAATATTTTCATCGTCATCACATCATCATCAACAGTCTTTAGCAGTCCACTGCTGAACATAGGCTTCTCCTTAGAAAGGAGGTTTTGGCCTACTACACCACGCTGGCCAAACGGGTTGGTATAGGGTTTATTTCAAGTTTAGGGTTTGTTTTTTAATATCTACATGCAAGAGCTCAATAATTTATAACAATATAGAAATCTTTCTATTTTCATATTCAATTATAACCTTCACCTATATTTATAAACAATTTACGAAACATTTTATCGCAAATTCATAGAATTCTAATTTAAATGTTATTCTTATTGCCAAACAAACCAGTATGTAGGTACTTAATAAATAAAAGTGTTTATCAAATAAACTTTATTCATTATCTAGATTTTTTCCTTACAAGATAATCATTATTCACATGTTAAAAAAAAACACAAATCTATGGTTAAATAAAATTGACAATTTTGGCCGAATAGCTTCGAAAGAGTTCGGATAAAAACACTACGTGAAACAATAAGGTATACCTACTTAGAAATCACCTTGCAAATGACCTTTGTGTCATGTAGGTAAATACAAAATAGAACAGCGATCCATCACGTCATTGTAGAAGTGTCAATGCGCAAAATTTGAACACGTTAATTTATTTGTCAATGTTTTTGTTAAATAAGTATGAATGTCTTATAACAAGTTTTGTGTACGTTTTTTAGAGTCATCATATATTTCTTGGGGTTTACTTTCTGGCATAAACTAAGTTGTACTGCCTTCGCCCTATGGTAAGCGGGTGCCTTAACCTATAATCTCTTGAACCTCAAGATGAATTTATTAAAAGATTAAAACCCCTGGATTGTAAGGTGTCATGGTAGACATAATATTACTATGTACATCTTTCAACTTGCTTCTATGTCTGCAAAGGACATTTTAGAAAGAAACCTTTTGAAATGTTTGCCATTTAAATATGTATTGTCTTCTAATCCATTCTTGATTCCTGTTAATCACTGCAAAGTGACAAAAGAGATGTCTATGAGACATTGTTGGTATTTTGCTATCAATATTTTATGATTAACATTGAACTAGCATTCATCCAGCAATATCCAGACCGTCCAAGACACACGGCCGGAGTGCGTCACGTGGTATGTGCCATTTCCGTCGCATCTATCTGCGAGATACGTATCTCCACGGTTGGGCGCGCCGACACCCCACCTGACGTTCCAACAATTGATATCTTCCGAAGGTCGAGTAATAACACGCTGCTATATATCCCACAAACATAAAGAAACGGCACAACACGACACACAGCAATCTTAACTCATCGTAATAAAGCCGTAAATCGTGTAATGTGTTTGTTTACAAGGGTCTATCATAAGTGGTGTGTACGAGTGCTGATTTTATGAATAGATCGTCAATTGTCGAACGGAAACGCGGACTAAAATTAGTTTCTGGAATTCAAATTTAAGGTCTTGATTTAATAAGACGCTAATTGCTCTTTATTGCTGTCATTATTCAAAGAATCAAAATTCAAATAGTAATAATTAAATATTATAAAGTTAATAATAGGTTAATTTAAATTAATAATTTTAGTGTATTTATTTATTAAGTAAATGAATAATTTTGAATATTTCGTTTATTTAGTTACAATCGTAAAAATATTTTAGATAAATAACCTAAGATAGCATAATAATATAGACAAGCTCTTAATCTTTTCATTTTATTATTTGAAGAATTGTACGCCGCCATCTTTGTATTGCAGATTGATTACTGTAATTACTGGCTAGATTGTTTTATTGTGCACAAGATAACATATAATTATATATAATTATGTGTTATTAAAAATGGCGACATTTTATAAGAATCGGGTAACATGTGGATACGTTTTTATGGTTTATAATATTTAGATACTTGAATTAATAAATAAATATTAAATGTGACGATTATGACAATCAAAAAATATTTTGTACTTGAAAATTTAATATAATTATTAGACAACTAATAGGTAAATAAGTAAATCATTTATTAAACATTCACCATACAATAAGTATTAAATATTTTTAAGAAAAATGAATTTATGTGGCATCAGTAGCCAAATCGTAACTATTGTAGGTATTTATAACACTTTTATAAAACTACCACACTATTAGTTAAAGTACTGACTCTATACTGACTGATTATATTGGTATATTAACAAGAAAATACAGTTTCTGACACTTCAAAAGACAATATGTAGATAGATATCTCTCTAACTCCTATATTCTCTTTGTCCATAGATCGCTCAGCTGGTAGAAGACGTGCGGAGGCTGCAGGCGTCTCTGACAGCACTGCAGGAAGCCCACGCGCAACAGCTCCAGCGATTGGAAGAACGCCTGGATGAGAAGAAACAGCACATCGCGAGGCTCGAAGCCAGGCTTGACACCCAGAGGGACTATGATGATATTAAGAGAGAAATAAGGTTAGTACCGAGTCTCTTTTAAGAATATTTAGTGATGGCTGATAATAAAACAATTTGGAAAATATCTTTCTTTTGGCTGGAATAAAGATTAGACTAGATTAAAAATTGAAAATTTTTTTAGCAATTTTAGAGATGTTTGCATTCATAAACACATACAAAATTTTTACTCAACACAGACACAGAAGTAGTTATACTTACCTAAAGAAGCTTTAAAAAGCTTTTTAATGAACCATAATTGCAAAACAAAACTATATTTTAATAAAATTAGAGTATTTACCTCAATTTAAAAGCATGTGACATCAAATACATGTATATCTTCAAACGGTCGTAAAATAAACTCAATCGTAATAAAACTTATTTAGTTGAGGAGTCTACCATAAATTCGTCATCCATGTTTAAAATAAATATCTCATCTTTTTTTTGAAACTGACATTTTAATAATTTATAATCTATGGTATCTAGACAAAGAGCAGTGTTACTTTTGACATTCGCTCCTCCAACACCGAACCTATAGAACATATTGTATACTTAGTCGTTAGTTCGTAGACGACCACATTCAAGGCTTGTTCAGCAAACAGACGCTTTTGTATGTAACAAGTGTAAACTATGGCACAGGTGAATGAACGATAGCTGTTATCAAGTTTATTAACACGTCCGTATGATGCTCTATGCCTTGGTTAAGCACAGGGATGCGATCTATATCAAGAATGGTCTATTTAAAGCCGAACTACGAAGTTCCATTGCGTGGCAACTAACAGCAATATTTATGTATAAGAACGTAATATTATAAAGAATTATACATGATAATGAGAAATTCGCGCTCTTGTTAGCTATATAAGGGTTACAGGTAAATGAAAGTAGACAATTTTTTACTATTATTGTTACATCTAAACCAAGGCAAAATATGTTGTCTTTATGACTTAACTTTTAGACCTTAAGGGTTAAATGTTTTCTTTCAATCTCTACAGGACTAAACGGGTTGTATAATTACTCTCGCAGATAAAAAAGAATTTACAATATTGGTTTATAAATAACGGAGTTCTGAATTAAAAAAGATAAAAAAAACTTCGACCAAAATAAGGAACCTCCTCTTTACTAAAGTCGTTTAATTAATTAATATTTTTATTAGGGCAAATCACTAAGACAAAACTGTACTAGTTGTAATCAGTGCTACAAGTTCATCGCCTCGCTATCACCCGTCATGCAGGATTAGTTCAATAAACAATAGAACGAGAAACCGTATGGTGATCCTTTACTTAATGTCGCAAAGTACATACATACAGTGTATCACTGTGTACTGTGTATGTTTACTGACCCTACCTTTGACTGATAACGAGGCGCCTGCGAGCCCTGCAAGCTTTGTGTGGCACCTCCGTTACTTAAGATTCTATGTATCATCCAAGTATTGTTTTACTTATAATCTTATGAGTACACCGCTGAATAAGCGACGGCTATAAATAGAGAAAATGTTATGAACATTCATGAATCCTTGATTAATAAGGCCATTAGTCATATAATTAGATTTTTTGTTGTTCAACGGCTATGCAGTTTTTGGGTATGAATGGGTGGACTCTTTGGTGCCCAAGAAAACGAAGAAAAAAAAACTGTCATAATCATGTCATTAATGTCAAACTAACATTTATGATTTTGACAATTCATGTTAGTTCATTGTTTATCATTAAATTGAGATAACATACACAGATACATCCATATAAGTAACATCCCTCTCCTCTAGTGATGGAAATTATTGCTACTATTAAATCTTAATCATATCATGAAATGATTGGATTTAGTCACTGCGATGTATCACTTCTGGGATTTGGTCAAAGAAAAAATGCCATCAAAACTTTTTATCAAAGTCTGCGCCCTTTCTTTTTTAGCTAGCGTAATCATAAGACACAGAGGTTTTGTACATCAGTCACATGTGTTATTATATGATGTATAAATCATATGATTTGTAACACTTCATTGTGATTTCATTTCATTCCTACGTCTCCTCCAATTGCCTTTCCTTCTTATCTACCTGTTCTTTCAATATACTCATTACCTTCCTATCGAACCCCAAGAACCCAGTTAAGGGTAATATACTTGTCTACTTACGTAAGTGAGTCTAAAATTATATTTAAAAAAAGCAGGCTTACAATAAGCCTCTACTTATAAACGATAGATAACTTAAGTGTATGTATGTAAGTAGATGTAGTTTTTTTCAGAACTGCTGTAAAAATCATTGTCGTCCCGTCACTTTTATACCTTGTTTGGACAGCTTGCGCAAGATCACTTGTTAAGTGCCCACCACATCCTAAAAGAAATTTTATGGAGTTCTCTGTAATTATCCGACGGATTGAGTTGTCGAGAATTCTCTTTGAAATCGTATATTTGTACACGACACTTAGGATGTCGGTTTGTTGTTATATTAAGCCTTTGTCTTAAAAACAATGATTTTTTTAAAGGAAATTCACCTTACCAAGGTCTACCAACAACAGTTTTTTTTTTATCTTCTCTGATTGGCGAAGGTCTTGTTAAAGTCTCTGTCAAATAATTCTCAACACAAAACCAGTGTACATTACGCCGAACATTTGTATTGAAATCCGTAAAACTAAGAACTTTGATGGCAAAAATGTGCAATGAATATAAATTAAATTCTATACTACCTTTTCAGAAATATATGATTTCGTTTAAATAGACCATGAAATTAAAAAATCCAAACCCAAACAAGTGTCTCGCCCAACCATAATTTCAAACCAAAACCTCCTTGCTCATTTTAGATACATATACTAACTTTCTTTCTACACACATTACTATTCATATTGTCGGCTAACTTTGACTCACCCAAAGTATCCACCCATTGACTACCAAAACGTCCACTAAGGAGGTCCAAACACTTTTTTTATTTAATTTTTTCTTCATCGTTCGGAAATCGAAAAGCACTTGTGTCGCAGGCTCATGGATTTCACAGCTATATGCTAAACGTTCGAGATACGGAATTTAGCAGCCTCCCCCGAGTTTACACAATATATTGATATAGAAATCGCTCCCTGAGAACCTTTGTAGGTTACTTTTTTATTTTCCTGTCCCATCAGTGGGAAATATAAATAGAATTATCGAAGGATGTTAATATTTTAACGCGCGATAGGGAATGGAACATTGTTTTTTTTTTATAAAGATTGAGGCAGTGATAGCTAAGTTATACCATTCTAAGATAATTTGTAATATGTTTTTGTTTTTAATCTTAGGGTTCTGATTTACGAGTAGGTAAGTCATCATCTACTGTATCAAGTGTTGTGAGTTCGATCCCCACGTGGAACATTTATACTTTTATTTTACCAGCCTCTTATCCTTCTTATAAACATGGTGTTCATATTAATAAAATATAAAATATTAATATTTCATGTGCTATATTTACTATCTAAAACAAAAATCTTATCAAAATGCATTATTTATAAAAAGTATGATCGATGATTGCCTACATGGAATCAAAATAACTTATTATAAGATAAATGTTTTTATGACATCTGTCACTAGTGTCAAACTATGTTTTGACAACTATAGGTAATTATACAAGCTCCTTACGGCATCACATGAAAGCTTTCCCACGTGTTATGTAGCCACTAAAGATACTAATTACGCAATCAGGATGCGATCAGTCAACTTCCTGGTAGATCCATCAAGTGCACCTGATAACACATAATAGATGCCAACTTTATCCTCACCGACGGCACTTATACCTAATTAAATATATTCGATAAGATAGAAGGAGATCGATAGATACAGGATATAGATTAAAAACGACTTGCCTTTTAATAGACAACTCCCAAGTTTGAGAATCCGCCATTTAGTTGCACAAAAAAATAAATACAGGTTAAAAATTCAAAGTACCTACAAACAGACTGTATAGTTAGGTAAATATTGATGCAGTTGCACTTATAATCAATAATTAATGAAAAAACAGTTTGACATACGTACTGAAAATATATTTTTTATTTCAACAAGAAAAGGCACAAAGCTTTTTGACGTTTGAGAATTCAGTTAATTAAGCAATGAAATGCTTGCAGTTTGCTCAAAGCACTCAAGTGCTTAACCCACTACATGTCGATGCATTTCCGTCCATTTGACAATCGGTATCACAAAGAGTATCTGTTACACCACTCCAGCTATTTATACTCCTGTAGCAACTCCGAAAACCAATGTTTTCAAGCGTTTTATGTGTTATTTCTACCAATACGGTCTCCTAGCCGGAGTCTTTGATCTACCGTCAAAGACGATATCACACGGGCCGGCGACATAAAATGCACAAGCTTGTGCAAACACGTTAAAAAACTAAATATAAAAAAATGTTAATCGATGGTTTATGACAGGAAATCGGAAATTGGGGCGCATAACTATTTTCATGTTCCACAGCTGACGAGCGAAAATATTACGACTAAGTTCATGATCATAAGATTTTTTTTTAGATAATTAATTTATAAAATCAGCTGTCTAAGGATTTATGCAGTAGTAAGAGTTAGGAAGAATATTGACTTACAAAAGGATACCTCTCCTTCTGTTCTGCTTTTAAATTACAGAATCATGTTATTTTACAGCTTATGTATAGATACATATTTCCTAACAAAAAACGTATTGATGTATAAAAAGAAACACATAATGAAAAAAGAAAAGGATTTTCTTTATTGATCCTTAAATTATACTCGTATTTCTTCAAATTTATATCCACATTAAAGCAAAAACAAATTGATTCTCTAACAAGCAAACAATCAACAATAACAACACAAAAAATCCCATGATCATCACATATAACAGACACATTATCTGCCCACACGACAGTACGATAGAAAAATAAACGATACACAGCCATTTCAATTATTGCCTCGAACACGCGAATGGATGAAAACATTTGGCATTTTCCCATGATCGCTTTCTTCAACAAAAGATGAGTTCACGTAATCCTATAAGATCTATAATTCTCTATATAAACAGCAAGCCACCTGCACTGGTTTATAGCT